TCTGCGCTTTTAGCCATGGCTCGCGCCCGTCTCTGGAGATCCTTTAAGCAGCCCTCTTAATCCCCTCTCCTTGCGCACCAGGAAACAAAGAGGGAGGAGAAAGTCTCTTGGCTCTTCGGCAGTCCAGACTTTTTCCCGGACTCCCACCCGGCTAGCCGTGGCGCACTAGCCCCCTTCAGGCTGTGTTCACGCAGCCAACCCCAGTCCTCTCCCTGGGATCAGACGCAAGCCCGATCCTCAGCTCCCAGCCCCGCCCGCCCCGGCTGGTGAGCAGAGAAGCCTCTTGGGCTGGTGAGTGTTGGTCGGCACTGGTCCTCTGTGTGGGAATCTCTCCGCTTTGCCCTCCGCACCCCTGTTGCTGTGTTCTCTTCTGTGGCTTCGAAGCTTCCCCCCTCCACCACCCACAGTCTCCTCCCGTGAAGGGGCTTCTAGTGTGTGGAAACCTTTCCTCCTTCACAGCTCCCTCCCAGAGGTGCAGGTCCCGTCCCTATTCTTTTGTCTCTATTTTTTCTTTTTTTCTTTTGCCCTACCTAGGTATGTGGGGAGTTTCTTGCCTTTTGGGAGGTCTGAGGTCTTCTGCCAGCGTTCAGTAGGTGTTCTGTAGGAGCAGTTCCACGTGTAGATGTATTTCTGATGTATCTGCGGGGAGAAAGGTGATCTCTGTGTCTTACTCTTCCGCCATCTTCCCCCTCTCCTGTCCTGTAGTTTCTTGAGTTTTGGATTTTGCTGGTTGTGTCCCTGATATTTCACTTAATGTATTTTCCCCCGTGTTCTCCTTATTTCCTATAAATTGGTAATTAATATTTTAGAGGCTTTTATCAGATTTTTTGGCAGAAATATTTCATAGTTGGGTGGAGTACTTCCACCAGGGAACTCATAAAGTTAGCTTATTTTGCTTTTTGTGGAATTAACAGCTATCAATGACTGCTGTCCACATCTCTTATTTCATTAGTGTTTGTAAACTGATAATATTCTAAATACATCATTTTATTTTTTATGAGCTGGAATGCTTCTCTAGAGTACAATCTCCCTTGGCAATGGTTTGATTACTCTGAATTCCAGTAGTATGCATAGTAAAAGGAACATAAATGTTTGATTATTCCTCTTTTTATTTACCAATTTTCAGAATAATAGCTTGGTTCTCTAGCATCCTACAAAGGTGACCAATTAGCTTTTACTTTTTAAGGTTTTTTTTTTTTTTTAAAAAAATAAATTTATTTATTTATTTTTGGCTGTGTTGGGTCTTCGTTGCTTTGTGCAGGCTTTCTCTAGTTGCAGCCAGCAGGGGCTACTCTTTAATTGCAGTGTGAAGGCTTCTTATTGCAGTGGCTTCTCGTTGCAGAGCATGGGCTCTAGGCGCACGGGCTTTGGTAGTTGTGGCTCATGGGTTCTAGAGCGCAGGCTAAGTAGTTGTGGTGCATGGGCTTAGTTGCTCCGCGGTGTGTGGGATCTTCCCAGACCAGGGCTCGAACCCGTGTCCCCTGCATTGGCAGGCGGATTCTTAACCACTGTGCCACCAGGGAGCCCTTTTAAGGTCATTTTGAACTCATAGATTTAGATAGATTTGTGTTTAAATCCATTGCAGGTTATTAGTATGGATGCTCAGATTATCTCATCTTTAACAAATGGGAGCCTCTTTAAGTTCTTGAATGCCTTTGACATTATTCTTTCATAGTTTTTGGCAAGATGTTTCAGACTTATCTTATGCATCTCCTGCTCAAGACCTGGAAATGGCCATTCCTCCAAAGAATCCTGGTTCCTTTTAGTTGGGAGTAACATTTAGAGACCACAGCCTGGGCACAGGGATCCTCACTGCTAGTGGTTTGGTCATTGTTTCTTGGCTATTTCAGTGAATGAACCTAAGAAATTCCACCGCCCCCCACCCCCCAACCCGAGATACATGGGTTCACATGTATCACATTTCTAATTCAGATATAGAGTATAGGGTTCTTTCTTCTGAGATTTCAAAATTTGTGTCTTATAATGAAAAGCTTGGATTCTTATGACATTAACATAGTTACTTGCTGTTTTATAAACATATAATAGTTTCAGAATAATGCTGTAGATATTTTCATAACAACATGGTTACTGAGAAGAGTTTAAGTTTTTTTTTTTTGCAGTCCTTTTTTTTTTTTAACATCTTTACTGGAGTATAATTGCTTTACAATGGTGTGTTAGTTTCTGCTTTATAACAAAGTGAATCAGCTATACATATACATATATCCCCATATCCCCTCCCTCTTGCGTCTGCCTCCCACCCTCCCTATCCCACCCCTCTAGGTGGTCACAGAGCACTGAGCTGATCTCCCTGTGCTATGCAGCTGCTTCCCACTAGCTATCTATTTTACATTTGATAGCGTATATATAAGTCCATGCCACTCTCTCACTTCGTCCCAGCTTCCCCTTCCCCTCCCTGTGTCCTCAAGTCCATTCTCTATGTCTACGTCTTTATTTGTGTCCTGCCCCTGGGTTCTTCATAACCATTATTTTTTTAGATTCCATATATATGTGTTAGCATATGGTATTTGTTTTTCTCTTTCTGACTTACTTCACTCTGTATGACAGACTCTAGGTCCGTCCACCTCACTACAAATAACTCAATTTCGTTTCTTTTTATGGCTGAGTAATATTCCATTGTATATATGTGCCACATCTTCTTTATCCATTCATCTGTCGATGGACACTTAGGTTGCTTCCATGTCCTGCCTATTGTAAATAGAGCTGCAATGAACATTTTGGTACATGACTCTTTTTGAATTATGGTTTTCTCAGGGTATATGCCCAGTAGTGGGCTTGCTGAGTCATATGGTAGTTCTATTTTTAGGTTTTTAAGGAACCCCCCATACTGTTCTCCATAGTGGCTGTGTCAATTTACATTCCCACCAACAGGGCAAGAGGGTTCCCATTTCTCCACACCCTCTCCAGCATTCATTGTTTGTAGACTTTTTGATGATGGCCATCCTGACTGGTTTGAGATGATATCTCACTATAGTTTTGATTTGCATTTCTCTAATGATTAATGATGTTGAGCATTCTTTCATGTGTTTGTTGGCAATCTGTGTATCTTCTTTGGAGAAATGTCTATTTAGCTCTTCTGCCCATTTTTGGATTGAGTTGTTTGTTTTTTTTGATATTGAGCTGCATGAACTGCCTGTAAACTTTGGAGATTAATCCTTTGTTGCTTCATTTGCAAATATTTTCTCCCATTCTGAGGGTTGTCTTCTCGTCTTATTGTTTCCTTTGCTGTGCAAAAGCTTTTAAGTTTCATTAGGTCCCATTTGTTTATTTTTGTTTTTATTTCCATTTCTGTAGGAAGTGGGTCAAAAAGGATCTTGCTGTGCTTTATGTCATAGAGTGTTCTGCCTATGTTTTCCTCTAAGAGTTTGATAGTTTCTGGCCTTACATTTAGGGCTTTAATCCATTTTGAGTTTATTTTTGTGTATGGTGTTAGGGAGTGTCCTAATTTCATTCTTTTACATGTAGCTGTCAAGTTTTCCCAGCAGCAGTTATTGAAGGGGCTGTATTTTCCCTGTTGTATATGCTTGCCTCCTTTATCAAAGATTAGGTGACCATATATGTGTGGGTTTATCTCTGGGCTTTGTATCCTGTTCCATTGATCTATATTTCTGTTTTTGTGCCAGTACCATACTGTCTTGATTACTGTAGCTTTGTAGTATAGTCTGAAGTCAGGGTGCCTGCTTCCTCCAGCTCCGTTTTTTGTTCTCAAGTTTGCTTTGGCTATTCGGGATCTTTTGTGTTTCTATACAAATTGTGAAATTTTTTGTTCTAGTTCTGTGAAAAATGCCAGTGGTAGTTTGATAGGGATTGCATTGAATCTATAGATTGCTTTGGGTAGTAGAGTCATTTTCACAATGTTGATTCTTCCAATCCAAGAACATGGTATATCTTTCCATCTATTTGTATCATCTTTAATTTCTTTCATCAGTGTCTTTTGTTTGTTTTGTTTTTTTCGGTACGCGGGCCTCTCACTGTTGTGGCCTCTCCCGTTGCGGAGCACAGGCTCTTAACGTGCAGGCCCAGCGGCCATGGCTCATGGGCCCAACCACTCCATGGCATGTGGGATCTTCCCGGACCGGGGCACAAACCCACATCCCCTCCATCGGCAGGTGGACTCTCAACCACTGTGCCACCAGGGAAGCCCTCATCAGTGTCTTATAATTTTCTGCATACAGGTCTTTTGTCTCCTTAGGTAGGTTTATTCCTAGATTCATTATTCTTTTTGTTGCAGTGGTAAATGGGAGTGTTTTCTTAATTTCACTTTCAGATTTTTCATCATTAGTGTACAGGAATGCTAGAGATTTCTGTGCATTAAATTTGTATCCTGCTACTTTACCAAATTCATTGATTAGCTCTAGTAGTTTTCTGATAGCATCTTTAGGATTCTTTATGTATAGTATCATGTCATCTGCAAACAGTGACAGCTTTACTTCTTATTTTCCAATTTGGATTCCTTTTATTTCTTTTTCTTCTCTGATTGCTGTGGCTAAAACTTCCAAAACTATGTTTAATAATAGTGGTGAGAGTGGGCAACCTTTTCTTGTTCCTGATCTTAGTGGAAATGCTTTCAGTTTTTCACCATTGAGGACAATGTTGGCTGTGGGTTTGTCATATATGGCCTTTATTATGTTGAGGAAATTTCCCTCTATGCCTACTTTCTGCAGGGTTTTTATCATAAATAGGTGTGGAATTTTGTCGAAAGTTTTCTCTGCATCTATTGAGATGATGATATGGTTTTTCTCCTTCAATTTGTTAATGTGGTGTATCACATTGATTGATTTGCATATATTGAAGAATCCTTGCATTCCTGGAATAAACCCCACTCGTTCATGGTGTATGATCCTTTTAATGTGCTGTTGGATTCTCTTTGCTAGTATTTTGTTGAGGATTTTTGCATCTATGTTCATCAGTAATATTGGCCTGTAGTTTTCTTTCTTTGTGACATCTGCTTTTGGAATCAGGGTGATGGTGGCCTTGTAGAGTGAGTTTGGGAGTGTTCTTCCCTCTGCTATAATCTGAAAGAGTTTTAGAAGGATAGGTGTTAGTTCTTCTCTAAATGTTTGATAGAATTCGCCTGTGAAGCCATCTGGTCCTGGGCTTTTGTTGGAAGATTTTTAATCACCATTTCAATTTCAGTGCTTGTGATTGGTCTGTTCATATTTCCTATTTCTTCCTGGTTCAGTCACAGAAGGTTGTGCATTTCTAAGAGTTTGTCCATTTCTTCCAGGTTGTCCATTTACTGGCATACAGTTTCTTGTAGTAATCTCTCATGATCCTTTGTACTTCTGCAGTATCGGTTGTTATTTCACCTTTTTCATTTCTAATTCTATTGATTTGAGTCTTCTCCCTTTTGTGCTTGATGAATCTGGGTAATGGTTTATCAATTTTGTTTATCTTCTCAAAGACCCAGCTTGTAGTTTTATTGATCTTGGCTGTCATTTCCTTCATTTCTTTTTCATTTATTTCTGATCTGATCTTTATGATTTCTTTCCTTCTGCTAACTTTGGGGTTTTTTTTTTGTTCTTCTTTCTCTAATTTCTTTAGGTGTAGGTTAGGTTGTTTATATTAGATGTTTCTTGTTTCTTAAGGTAGGATTGTATTGCTATAAACTTCCCTATTAGAAATGCTTTTCTGTATCCCATAGGTTTTAGGTCTTTTAGTTTTCATTTCATGTGTTTCTAAGAATTTTTGGATTTCCTTAGTGATCCTTTGGTTATTAAGTAGTGTATTGTTTAGCCTCCTTGTGTTTTTATTTTTTACAGATTTTTTTCCTGTAATTGATATCGAGTCTCATAACATTGTGGTTGGAAAAGATACTTGATATGATTTCAGTTTCCTTAAATTTACCAAGGCTTGATTTGTGACCCAGGATATTATCTATCCTGGAGAATGTTCCATGAGCACTTGAGAAGAATGTGTATTCTGTTATTTTTGGATGGAATGTCCTATAAATATCAATTAAGTCCATCTTGTTTAATGTATTGTTTAAAGCTTGTGTTTCCTTGTTTATTTTCATTTTGGATGATCTGTCTATTGGTGATATTGGAGTGTTAAAGTCCCCTACTATGATTGTGTTACTGTTGATTTCCCCTTTTATGGCTGTTAGTATTTGCCTTATGTATTGAGGTGCTCCTATGTTGGGTGCATAAATATTTACGATTGTTATAGCTTCTTCTTGGGTTGACCCCTTGATCATATGTAGTGTCCTTCTTTGTCTCTTGTAATACTCTTTTTGTCTGATATGAGAATTGCTACTGCAGCTTTCTTTTGATTTCCATTTGCATGGAATATCTCTTTTCTGTCCCCTCACTTTCAATCTGTATGTGTCCCTAGGTCTGAAGTGAGTCTTTGACAGCACGTATATGGGTTTTGTTTTTGTATCCATTCAGCCAGTATTTGTCTTTTGGTGGGAGCATTTAATCCATTTACATTTAAGGTAATTATCAATATGTATGTTCCTATTACCATTTTTTTAATTGTTTTGGGTTTGTTATTGTAGGTCTTTTCCTTCTTTTGTGTTTCCTGCTTAGAGAAGTTCCTTTAGTATTTGTTGTAAAGCTGGTTTGATGGTGCTGAATTCTCTTAGCTTTTGCTTGTCTGTAAGGTTTTTAATTTCTCTGTTGAATCTGAATGAGATCCTTGCTAGGTCGAGTAATCTTGGTTGTAGATTTTTCTGTTTCATCACTGTAAATATGTCCTGCCACTCCTTTCTGGCTTGCAGAGTTTCTGCTGAAAGATCAGCTGTTAACCTTATGGGGATTCCCTTGTATGTTATATGTTGTTTTTCCCTTGTTGCTTTTAATAGTTTTTCTTTTACTTAATTTTTGATAGTTTGATTAATATGTGTCTTGGCCTGTTTCTCCTTGGATTTATCCTGTATGGGGCTCTCTGTGCTTCCTGGACTTGATTGACTATTTCCTTCCCCGTATTAGGGAAGTGTTCAACTATAATCTCTTCAAATGTTTTCTCTGTCCTTTACTTTATCTCTTCTTCTTCTGGGACCCCTGTACTTCGAATGTTGGTGAATTTAATGTTGTCCCAGAGGTCTCTGAGACTGTCCTCAATTCTTTTCATTTGTTTTTCTTTATTCTGCTCTGCAGTAGTTATTTCCACTATTTTATCTCCCAGGTCACATATCCGTTCTTCTGCCTCAGTTATTCTGCTATTGATTCCTTCTAGAGAGTTTTTAATTTCACTTATTGTGTTGTTCATCACTGTTTGTTTGCTCTTTAGTTCTTCTAGGTCCTTGTTAACTGTTTCTTGCATTTTGTCCATTCTATTTCCAAGATTTTGGATCATCTTTACTATCATTATTCTGAATTCTTTTCTAGGTAGACTGCCTATTTCTTCTTCATTTGTTTGGTCTGGTGGATTTTTACCTTATTCCTTCATCTGCTCTGTGTTTCTGTCTTCTCATTTTGCTTAACTTACTGTGTTTGAGGTCTCCTTTTTGCAGGCTGCAGGTTCATGCTTCCTGTTGTTTTTGGTGTCTGCCCCCAGTGGCTAAGGTTGGTTCAATGGGTTGTGTAGGCTTCTTGGTGGAGGGGACTTGTGCCTGTGTTTTGGTGGCTGAGGCTGGATCTTGTCTTTCTGGTGTGCAGGACTGCATCCGTTGGGTGTGTTTTGGTGTGTCTGTGATCTTACTATGATTTTAGGCAGCCTCTCTGCTAATGGCTGGGTTTGTGTTACTGTCTTGCTAGTTGTTTGGCATAGGATGTCAAGCACTGTAACTTGCTGGTCATTGAGTGGTGCTGGGTCTTAGCATTGAGATGGAGATCTCTGGAAGAGCTTTTGCCTTTGATATTACGTGGAGCCAGGAGGTCTATGGTGAACCAGTGTCCTGAACTCAGGTCTCCCACCTCAGAGGCACAGGCGTGATACCTGGCCGGAGCACGAATACCCTGTCACCCACACGGCTCAGAAGAAAAGGGGGAAAAAATGAAACAAAGAAAGAAAAATAAAATAAAATAATATAAAGTTATTAAAATAAAAATAATTATTAAAAAATTAAAAAGTAATAATAAAAGAAAGAAAGAAAGAATAGAGCAAGCAAACCGAAAAAACAAATCCACCAGTGATAGCAAGTGTTAAAAACTATACTAAAAAAAACCCCCAAACAAAAAATGGATAGACATAACCCTAGGACAAGTGGTAAAAGCAAAGCTATACAGACAACATCATACGAAGAAGCATACACATACACACTCACAAAAAGAGAAAAAGGAAAAATATATATATCTATAATATAAAAGAAAAAAAGGATGATGAGAGCAACCAAATCAATAAACAAAGCTACCAATGATAATCAACTCTAAATACTAAACTAAGATAAACATAAAGCCAGGAACAAATTAGATGCAGAAAGCAAACCCCAAATCTACAGTTGCTCCCAGCATCCACCACAATTTTGGGATGATTCGTTGGCTGTTCAGGTATTCCACAGATGCAGGGTACATCGAGTTGACTGTGGAGATATAATCTGCTGCTTCTGAGGCTGCTGGGGAAAATTTCCCTTTCTCTTCTTTGTTCGCACAGCTCCTGGGGTTCACCTTTGGATTTGGCCCCGCCTCTGCGTGGAGGTCTCCTGAGGATGTCTGTTCTTTCCTCAGACAGGACGGGGTTAAAGTAGCAGCTGATTAGGGGGCTCTGGCTCACTCAGGCCGGGGTGAGGGAGGGGTACGGATGTGGGGCGAGCCTGCAGCGGCAGAGGCCAGCGTGACGTTGCACCATCCTGAGAGGCTCACCATGTGTTCTCCCAGGGAAGTTGTCCCTGGATCCCGGGACCCTGGCAGTGGCGGGCTGCACAGGCTCCCGGAAGGGAAGGTGTGGAGAGTGACCTGTGCTCGCATACAGGATTCTTGGTGGCTGCAGCAGCAGTGTTAGCATCTCATGCCCGTCTCTGGGGTCCACACTGATAGGCGCGACTCGTGCCCATCTCTGGAGCTTGTTTAGGCAGTGTTCTGAATCCCCTCTCCTCGCACACCCTGAAACAGTGGTCTCTTGACTCTTAGGCAGTTCCAGACATTTCCCCGGACTCCCTCCCGGCTAGCTGTGGCGCACTAGCCCCTTTCAGGCTGTGTTCATGCAGCCAACCCCAGTCCTCTCCCTGGGATCTGACCTCCGAAGCCCGAGCCTCAGGTCCCAGCCCCCGCCCGCCCCAGCGGGTGAGCAGAGAAGCCTCTCGGGCTGGTGAGTGGGGCTGGTGAATGCTGCTCGGCACAGATCCTTTGTGCGGGAATCTGTCCGCTTTGTCCTCCGCACCCCTGTTGCTGCGCTCTCCTCCGTGGCTCCGAAGCTTCCCCCCTCCGCCACCCACAGTCTCCGCCCGCGAAGGGGCTTCCTAGTGTGTGGAAACCTTTCCTCCTTCACAGCTCCCTCCCACTGGTGCAGGTCCCGTCCCTATTCTTTTGTCTCTGTTTTTTCTTTTGCTCTACCCAGGTACGTGGGGAGTTTCTTGCCTTTTGGGAAGTCTGAGGTCTTCTGCCAGCGTTGAGTAGGTGTTCTGTAGGAGTTGTTACACATGCACATGTATTTTTGATGTATTTGTGGGGAAGAAGGTGATTTCCACGTCTTACTCCTCCACCATCTTGAAGGTCTCCCTCTTTGCAGTTCTTTTTGTTTTGATAGTATATCGCACTAAGGATGTTCAGTCAAATTACTTTTTTTTTTTTAATTACTTATTTTTAAGTCACTTTATAGTTCCTCTCTTGTGGTTATGCTACCAACTTGATACAAAGAATAATTTGTTTAATTTTGCTTTTGCTTTTATTGTGAATTTTTTTAAATTAATTTTCTTTTAGAATTATATAAAATGTTGAAGTGGTTTTTAAATAAAAACAATAAAATCAATGTATTTTCAGAGAAATCTAGCTTCTTTCCTCGTCTCTCTACCCTGTTCTTGCCTCCCTTTTTTAGAGGACCAATTGAAAAAAAAATTGTGTGTTCTCCTTCCATTAAAAAAAATACAGGTGTGTGTGTGTGTGTGTGTGTGTGTGTGTGAATGTGTGTATGTGTTCCCTCTTTACTTTCTTAGATAAAAGGTAGTTTAGTATATATACTTTTCTTCGTCTTCTTTTACTTAATATATTCTGGATATCACTCCATAGCAAAACAGGGAAATTCTTTTTATTTTAGCTGTATTTTGTGGGTATATCATAGTTTAATTAATCCTAGGTTAATATTTAAGTGTCCTTTATTTTGAGGAAATGCTGACATATTTTATTCTTTTGTAATATAATTACAACATAATACCTTGTGATTGTATCTGTTTGATTTCTATAGTTATCAAATCTTGTAACCCAGTGGTGTTTAGTTTCTACAACTACCTTCGAACTCATCCTTTGCTTATTCGAAGAAACCTTGCCTCCCCTGAAGGAACTTTGGCAACCTTAGGTCTCAAAACGGAGAAGAACTTTGTTGATAAAATTAATCTCATAGAAAGAAAATTATTCTTTACTACAGCAAATGCTCATTTTAAAGTTGGATGTCCTGTTTTAGCCTTGGAGGTACTCTCCAAAATTCCAAAAGTTACCAAAGTGTCTGCCTTACCTTCAGAAAAAGATCAGCCTGACTTCATTTCTAAAAAGACGGATGATGTACCTTCAGAATCAAAAACTCTGAGTGATGGTGATAGAAGTTCTGGAATTGATTGGTCAAATGTAACTTCATCACAGATTGACTGGAGTCAGCCAATAGTAAAAGTTGAAGAGGAACCTCTTACTCTTGATTGGGGTGAAGAGCACGATGGTGCCTTAGAAGAAGAGGAAGAAGATTCTGTCGGTTTAGTAATGAAAATTACAGATGTCAGGGAAAAAGACAGACAAGAAGATCAGGAAGCCCCAGACCCTAATGTGTTATTGACTCCTCAGGAAGAGGATTGCCTTGAAGGTGATTCTGAAGTTGATGTGATTGCTGAACAACTAAAATTCAGAGCTTGTTTAAAGATCCTTATGACTGAACTAAGAACATTGGCTACAGGTTATGAAGTAGATGGTGGAAAACTCAGATTTCAACTCTATAACTGGCTTGAAAAGGAAATTGCTGCCTTGCATGAGATATGTAATCATGAATCAGTTATTAAAGAATATGCCAGTAAAATGTATTCCACAGTAGAGAGTGATATTCTGGATCAGGAAGAAATCGTGGACAAACCAGATATTGGTTCCTATGAGTGGCACCAAATAGAAAGGCGGAGACTACAGGCTAAACGAGAGCATGCAGAAAGACGGAAGTTGTGGTTGCAGAAGAACCAAGATCTCCTCAGAGTGTTTCTTAGTTACTGTAGCCTTCATGGGGCCCAAGGTGGTGGTCTGGCCTCAGTAAGGATGGAACTCAAATTTTTGCTACAAGAATCACAGCAGGTATTGACTTTACTTTTGTTTTCAATCTTGGTTATTTTAATAATTTCAATAACTTTCATTTATAGTTGTAAAGCTCTTTTTACTGGTTAATCTTAATGTAATTAGGTCCTCTATTCATAGGAGGCACATATTTACACTCTGCATGGGTCTTTTTAGACAGAAGTTTTGGTAATTAGGAGTAGGCTAAAAGCTTGAGACCACAGCTGTGTCAAACTCATCTTTACATCTTCTGCATCTAAGCATAGGACCTGGTACGCAATCAATTTTTGTAGAATAAGTGAGCAAGCACATTAACATATTGCTTTTACTCAGATGTTTACTGCCAGTATTTTTATCATATAACTATTAATTGCTTTTTTTGTCCTTCATTTTAACTACGGAAAAAATAATCTCCTATCACTCACAGGAAACTACAGTGAAGCAGCTCCAGTCTCCACTACCACTGCCTACCACCCTACCTCTGCTTTCAGCAAGTATTGCTTCAACAAAAACAGTCATAGCTAATCCTGTATTGTACTTAAATAATCACATCCATGATATACTTTATACTATTGTTCAGATGAAAACACCACCTCATCCCAGTATTGAAGATGTGAAGGTAATGTAGAGTTTATGATCATTTGGTATTGTACACACTGAGAAGGTAAATGTGTTATACTTGTCTTCCAATTTGAACTTAGAAGAAATATTTTACAGTACTCTTATCTGCTACCTTCTCAGTCTGACTAGTTCAAGACCATTTGTCCAATGAATGTAATTTGAAAGTAAGCATTCTTGAAATTCTCCCATTTGCCACAGCTTGGATGGAGTTTAAGCTAAGTGAAGTAAGTCAGACAGAAAGAAAAATACCATACGTTATCACTTATATGTGGAATCTAAAAAATGAAACAAATGACTGTATATAACAAAACAGAAACAGAGTCCCAGACATAGAGAACAAACCAGTGGTTACCAAAGTGTGTGTGTGTGGGGGGGGGCACATTATGGGTAGGGAATTAAGAGATACAAACTACTAAGCATAAAATAGACAAGCAACAAGGATATATTGTACAGCTCAGGGAAATAGAGCCATTATTTTGTAATAACTTTAAAGGGGAGGATAATCTATAAAAATATTGAACCATTGTGCTGTATACCTGAAATTAATATGATAGTTTCTTCTTACTTGTGGAAAAGTTATTATCTTCCTTTAAGACAGGCAAATACTTTTTTGGTAATAAAATTCATTTTCTAGACAGTATTCTTGCCAAATATTCCTTTGGATTCTCCATCTCCTTTAAATGAATCATTAAGTAGACATATTTATAACTGTTTGCTTAGATGCCAGGATATTATGAAAATATAAGTGCAGGGGGGTATCTTTGAGAGAACCATGATTGATTAGAAATAGTCCCAGAGAAAGTACCCTCTTTACTGTCTCCCTGATGACTGTGTTTTGTTGGAGGCTGTGGAATAGTTTGGGGCAATTAGAGTTTTGGCAGAGTTACTACCCCGAATTAAAACTATATCCTATGCTGAAAACTTAAAAATGGACAGATTCTAAGAAACAGTAGGGAGTGTGGCAGGATCTGGAGAGATGATCAGACTTCCACTGTGCTAGCCTAAGTGTATTTGTACTGTACTTTTTCCAATTCCAGTGGCTGATGTCATTTCAGGTCCCCAATATTTTTATTTTTAATTTTTTTGTTTGAAAGGCACATTCAATCTCTGGTAGTACATTCTTCTGAAGGACCCAAGGTTTACTGGTCATATCATCCTATTAGAGACTTCTAATCCATAGCATGAATTAATCTATCAGTATTTTAGCAGAGATTACTTAAATTATTTGATAGGTGAATATGGAAATGCAGAAAATGCCTTCAATGCATATAAGCTCTAAGTAAACATTTCTAGTTCCTAGAAATTTGGATAAGCTTTCAAAAAGTATGAAACTATTTCTAAGATCCCTTCAAATTTTAAGATTGTGTGAGTCTCAAAATGCTGATTCAGTGTGGCATTGTAGGATGTGGTTTTTATATTATATTGATAATTTTTAAACTTTCAAAATTTAAAATTCTAAGACTGCATTACTTCTAAGTACTAAGTGGATTACTTGCTTTCTGGAAAATTAACCATTTCAGACAGTGATTGATATACTTTCTAAACACTTAATTCATTCTTACTGATAAGATCAAGTTTTTAGTTTCATCAAGGAGAAGTTTTCATAAGGCAATTTTAAATAAAACTCTAAAAATTCTATGCTTATTTTGGTTCTGCTTTTTTGCAGTATTACTACTTAGGCTATTCATTAGCAGGCTAGGACACAGTCCCAGCAATGTGAACGTTGGCACTTTGCTTAGGGCCTGCTAAGTGGCAGGCTCACAGTAATAAATATTTGATAAAGATGCATATGAATCAATTAGCTTTGTTGTGAGCATGGATATTGAATTGGATGAGTTTTATTTTAGAAGCTTTAAGGTAGAGTTAGTAGTCTCATGTAGGACCTAGTTTTATTTGTGATATTGCTAGTTTCCTGGGTATTTTCTGATTTTTAACATACTACTGTTGTGTAGAAATGTTAGTACAAAATGTAATTGTGGCTGTTTTGGTTTTAGGTGCACACACTTCATTCACTAGCAGCATCACTTTCTGCATCAATTTACCAAGCATTATGTGACAGTCATAGCTACAGGTAAAAAAAAAAAAAAAAAATTACCCAAATAGTATTAATACAGCAAAAGCATTAAACTGTTCCAGAGTTATATTAAAGTTCTGCTTCCTAGGGACTGAAAAATCCTCAAATATGACCACCATGTGTACTTTAATAGATGAGAGTAGGAAATAAAATAATTATTTGTTTAGTTTAGCTATTACCTAGTAACAACAGAGACATATAGAAAATGACAAATAGTAAAGGAAAATTATCATCACCATCTTTTTTTTTGTTTTCAAGAAAAGAAGTGTTCACTATCCAAAGTAATTTATGATACGAAGTTTTCTTATTTTTTCCCCCTTAGGAACTATTCCTTTTAGCATTAGATTAGTTTCTGTTTGTTTGGTTTTCAGTTGAAAGAGGAAGAACTTTTGAAAAATGCGAAAGTACATTCCTAACGTTGAACTATTAAAATCAATTTTACCCATTTCTGTATGTCTTTAGAAGTGATATCAATAGATGTAATGGTTTGAATTTTTGTTAAATGTCTAATTGCCTTCATCGGTCTATACTCTGTATTTTAATGACTAGGGCCGTATAAGTAGTAAGAAATTGAATCACTTGGAAAGATGACCTAGATTTAAATGGATTATATTAATAAATGAAAAGTTTCTAATATAAATAGAATCACATTAAATTTATATTACACATATATCTAGATTTTTTTTCTTATAAATTCAGCAGCCTCTTGTGGGAAGATTTTTTATTGCATAGGGAATTACTCTCTCAAAATGGCCTGTTCTCTGATGTTAGCCTAATAAGGCCATGTCTAAGTAACTACAAAAACTTAGAAATGTAAATAAGTGAAAAAGAGTTTGTTTGGTTGACTGTGGTCATCTTAATGATCAAAGACAACTTGTTTGATATCAGTCACTGCTTAAAATGGCGCCAGATAAGAATCCAAATAAATTTTGTTGCAATGTGTATTTTCTAGTTTTTAGTCTGTGATTGACTCTCCAGGGAGTCAGATTTATTTTCTTCTTTTGTACTTCCCCCACTCCATAAAGATGAGGAAAGTAAATATTTGGGCACATTTGGCTTTAGGACTAGGTATTTCTAAAATAGGATTCTTCAGATTTTAGTTGATGTTTTAATTCAGAGTTGAGCTTGCACGACTTTACAGAACTAAGAAATGAAACAAAATAGTGCCCTGAAACTTTCTGATATATCTTAGTACCATCAGTAGTCTCCTTACGGCAGACTTCAAAAACAATACAAATAAGTGAATATAGAAAAGATTTTTAAGTATTAGGTGGCCTTTGGAAAAGGTTTTAATGACTAAATGTCATCTGCCTAAATAGAAAATTTGGTATTTTGTTTTAAAAAGCTATCTATAAATATTTGTAACTAATTTAAAGAACTTTCTGAAATAAGTTTTTATTAGAACAGTGAACTCAGTTTTAAGAGTTTTGTTTTTGTTACAGTTATCTAAAATAAATACGTATAGGGTATAATTGCTTGTTACCTCTATTAAGACGATAAATAACTGAACCTTATTTGTTTTAGCAGTCAGACAGAAGGGAACCAGTTTACAGGAATGGCTTATCAAGGTCTTCTTTTAAGTGATCGTCGAAGGCTAAGGACAGAAAGCATTGAAGAACATGCAACACCAAATTCTTCTCCTGCTCAATGGCCTGGTGAGAATTTGAGTGGTGTTTTTTGTTTGTTTGTTTTTTAATCTTCTATTTGGCAACTCCTTTTTACAAAGCTACCAACTGGTTTCCTGATTGTTGTTGTTTGTGGATTTGGTGAATAGTTTTTTATTTGTTTGTTTTTGATGATGTTTTCTGCCATGGATTAGGAATTCCTAAGTACTGTAATGTTGTCTGAAGACTCAGAAAGTTAAGGCTTCAAAAACCAGCTGTGTTGACCAGCATAAAAAAGCAAGGTTTAGCATCCTTCGCAAGGGTGAGCACGTCATGTTTCTTATCCTTAGACATCCCAAATTCGAATCTTAGAGAGCCAGTATCACAGAGCTTTTTTTTCACAGATACATCAGAATACAGTTATTCTCAAGAGTGTAGATGTATGTTAGGAAAGGAGTGACCATTCTGTGGCACATATATTATGGTGTCTGCCAGTCCTCTTCCTCCGGTTGGCTCTTTCTCACTCTCCATAACAGTTATTTCAAACCTTCTTCACTCTCTTAATATACTTTCCTCGTCTGCCACGTCATTTAATTTTTGTTCTACTTGCTTTATAACTGTGGTTACATGTTAATGATCATTGTGAAGAGTGGCAGTAGAAGGGAGTGACGGACTCCAAGTGTGTATTTAAAATTCATTTATGCATAAGTTTCTCAAAACATATTGTTGTCGTTTTGACTTTTTATTGAAATAATTTCAGACTTAACAAAAGTTTCAAAAATGGTACAAACAATTCTTGTGTAACCTTCACCCAGATTCCCCAAACAGTGACATTTTACCATACGTGCTTTGTCATTCACTCCTCTCTCACTCACTTATTGTGTGTCCGTGTGAATATATACTTTTTTCTGAAATATTTGAGGGTAAGTTGCAGACATGATGCCCCTTTACATCTAAATATATCAGTTTATCTTTCCTAAAAACAGACATTCTCTTATTGTACATAACCATAGCACTGTTATCAAATTCAGCATCTTAATATTGATACAGTACTGCTCTCTAATCTATAGATTTTTTGACAGTTTCACCTGTTGTCCCACTAAGGTCTTCCATGTAACATTTAGTTGTATTGTCTCATGAATCTCCTCTAATATGTGTTCCTCCTTCTTTCTTTGTCTCTCATGACACTGACACTTTTGAAGAGTACTAGCCAATTATTTTTTAGAATGTCCCTCCATTTGGGTTTTTCTGATGTCTTCTTAATATTAGATTCAGGTTATGAAGAGAGATTGTACCCTTCTCAGTGTAAAATATCAAGAGGCACATGATGCCACTTGGTCCCATTACTAGTGCCATTAACTTTGATCACTTTGTATGGTAGTTTCTGCCAGATTTCTCCTTTGTAAAGTTACTTTCTTTTCCTTTGCAATTAGTGAGTATCTTTTGAAGAGAATGTTTGAGATTGTGTAAAATATCATCCTTTTACCCACTAATTATAGCATCCAGTGATGACTCCTGACTGAATCAGATATTACTGTGAGGATTACTAGATGGTGATTTTCTAATTCTATCCTTCCTTCTACCTATTAGTTGAAATTGTTCTGTAAGGAAGAGCTTTCTCTTCTTTTATTTTTTCACTCATTTATTATATCAGTAGGGATGAATGGATTCTTATTTTATTCTATAGCTTATAAACCATTCCTATCATTTTGTTGCTCAAATTATGGATATATATATATGTCTCCATGTGTATATATTTACACTATATATATAGTATAATATAGATACATAATTTTGGTTAAACTTCAAATTTGGATTTTTTTTCCTTCTGGAGCTTTATGCTGATATACTTCTTATAATATTATATACCCTTACAGGTGTGAGTTCACTTATTAATCTCTTGAGTTCAGCCCAAGATGAAGACCAGCCAAAATTGAACATTTTGTTATGTGAAGCTGTTGTTGCTGTGTACTTAAGTTTATTGATACATGCTCTTGCCACAAATTCCTCCAATGAATTATTTCGACTTGCAGCCCACCCATTAAACAATCGAATGTGGGCTGCTGTTTTTGGGGGAGGTATAAAACTTGTTGTGAAGCCTCAAAGACAATCCGAAAATATTTCAGGTAAGATAAATTTGATACCAATAATGTATGTAAATGTAAATAGTTTCCAATATGAAAGTAAAAGATTTTTTTTAATGTTTTAAGCATTTTTATTTTGAAAATCACTGATGTTTAAGGTATAATCACTCTTGTTAGGGTAATAAATAACTAAACTCATGTTAGAATAAAGAATATAGTTTCAGTTTAACATTTTTTGGTAAACCAGGACAAATTTGAGGAGGATAAAAAAGAAAAAAGGAAAGGTAATTGTAAGCAAGGAGACAATGTTAAGGAATAAGGTCATGGAAAAAGGATAGTTTTTAATTAGAGAAAGATTTAAATAAATCCTCATAATCTTTACAGAGTATACCAGTAGTTGGCTTCAGATTAAGTTTATGGTAATAGACAAGAAGGCTGTTCCAATCATGCACATGGTTTTTAAATTCCATTTTCTGTCCTCTTTTTTTTTTCTTATGGACCAAAATAGATTTTTTAGCTCACTTTTTAAGATGGTGGGATGGTAAGATATAGACTGATGCCACGGGAAAGGTTTACACCTTGGCACTGAAACAAAGAAATTGTCTGTCTTAATTCGTCCTTAGAAATGGTCAATTACAGATGAGGAGTTAGTGGCACAGAGAGTTTAAATGGCACAGGTTCTAACCTGTGTCTTTACTGCCCAAGATCACATCAGATGGATAGGTTCCTACGTAAGTCAGAGTAAGGTAGGCAGTCTTATCGACTTGCGTTGTCTCCACTCCCGTTGCATGTGGATGACTCTTAATTTCCATCTTCCTACCTACTTGTAGTCCACTGTAAATTTAAAAGTTTTCCTCCCAAATCACTTCTTTTCTCTTCCTGAGTTTTCTATTATTTTTTCATGGTAGGTAATACATTCATCAAATCATCATGCTTAAACCTCTGAGTACGTATTCATGTTTGCATTTACTTACACCTGCTCTATGCCATGCTTTTGGGGTATGGGAGTGAACGAAACAGACAAATCCCTTACCTTCATGAAGCTTACATCCAGTAGAGGTAAACACAATAAATTAGCGAGTGATAATATTTCAGATATGGGAAGAACTACGATAAAAATAAAACAGAGTGACTGGACAGAGAATGATGAGGGAAAGGGGATGGGAACAGTTTAGTTAGGGTGATCAGAAGACACATTTCTGATTAGATAGCATTTGAGCAGAGTCCTAAGGAAGTTGGGAATCAGATCGTGCTGATATCTGGGGCCAGAGCATTTCAGGCAGATGGAGCAGTGAGTGCAAAAGTCATGAGGTAGGACTAGTTTGACCTTTTCCAGGAACTACAGTGGAGGCCAGAATGGCTATCCTGATCCAGGGGAGTGTGGTCAGAGATGAGGTAAGATAAGTAACTGGGGCCAAGGTCATTGAGGGTTTCATGGGTCATGTAAAACTATCGTTGTTGTTCTAAAGAAAGATAGGAAACTACTGGAGGGTTTTAAGCAGAGGAGTGACATAATCTGATTTAGGTTTTCAAAAGACCCACTCTAACTGCTATGTGGAGAATAGACTGTGAAAGAATAAAAGTAGGGAGTCCATGTGGGAGGCTCTGGGAATAGCCCACTTAAAAGATAATTGTGGATTACCATCAAGAGTGAATGGATAAACAAAATGTGGCATATAAGTAAAATGGAGTGTGATTCAGCTGTAAAAAAAGAATGAACTATTAACACATGCTATATAGCTAGCATGAACCTCAAAAATATTATGCTGAGTGAAATAAGCCAGGCACAAAAAGCCACACATTGCATGCTTCCATTTATATGAAATATTCAGAATAGGTAAAGCCATAGAGACAGAAGGCATACTGGTGGTTGCAGTGGGCTAGAGGGAGGGAGGAATGGGGAGTGACTGCTTAATGGGCATAGGGTTTTCATTTGGGGTAGTGTGAATGCTTTGCAGCTAGATAGGGATGGTGGTTGCACAACAGTGTGAATGTACTAAATGCCACTGAATTGTACTCTTTAAAATGGTTAATTTGATGTAAATTTCACCTCAGTTAAAAGATAAAAGTGGTTCAGCCTAGTGATGGACAGAGTGAAAAGTGGTCATATTCATCAGAGAGAACTTGAGATACAATTATCATTTTCTATGACGGGGAGCTTCAGAAGAGGACCAGGTTGATTTCTTTCTGGTTCTCTCATATCCAATTAGTTCTGAATCCTTTTGATATTTCTTTTATGTATTTCTCATATCTAATACTTCCTCTAGGTCTTTACCACCCACCATACTAGTTCAGGTCCTTCTTGTGTCAGATTCTTCCACCTTCCTCTCTAATTGATCCTGCAGACTATACCTCATCCTGTGCCTAGTTCAAGACACTTTCATGAGAATTACCTATAGGATGAGCTCCCAGCTTCCTATCCACAGGCTTGTCCCACCCTAACTCCAGACTGTTGTTGTTATTCCCCTCCCTGACACCTGTCTAGCAAAAGAAGTTTACTCCTCATTTAGCCAAACCTTTGGTCATTCATTTCTGGTGTCAACTTCCTCTTTTCACAGTGAACTTCTGCTTTTCTTTTAAGGCATGCTTTACATCCTCCATATTCATTCGGTGAATCTTTCTTGAACAACACAGCCAGAAATAATCACTCAAGCACTCTCTGTACTATTTGTTGAATATATCATTTATTTAATACACTGTATATAGAATCGCTTGAATTCTTATTCTATATAGCACATAGGCTGCTTCATTGCAAGTTAATCTTTTATACTCTATCCTCATCTGCATCTCTGCCATGATTGTTCGAAAACTGATGCAGTAACTAGAAAAGTTTAGAAGCACAGATGTAAGTAATTTAGTCTACACTAAAAACATGGCAAGAGTAGGATGAAAAGAAAGGTTAACTCTTTGAATTAATAATGGAAAATAAGGCCAGTTTTTTTTCTATCTTTATTCAGCACCTCCTGTTCCTTCTGAAGACATAGATAAACACCGCAGGAGGTTTAACATGCGAATGCTGGTTCCTGGAAGACCTGTAAAGGATGCTACCCCACCACCAGTGCCTGCAGAAAGACCATCTTACAAAGAAAAGTTTATTCCTCCTGAACTCAGTATGTGGGATTATTTTGTTGCAAAGGTAAGGGGCGTGAGGAATGCAAGCTTTATGTGTGTCTGTTTTATTAACTCTTATGTTTGCATCACATAGGAATGACGGGGCAGCTTCTGGGTTGAATCACCATAGTTTAGACATTAATCTCTCAACTCCAGAAGCTGAATAATCATTCAGGAATGATCAGATACTTGAAATGGACCAGACAAATTAAAATCATACGGGACTTAGGTATAAACCAAAAGTTAGTTTATTAACATATAATCAGCATCATCCTTTTCTAGGGACTGGAATACCTGTATCTACCATCTAACTTCCCTTCTTCTGATTATCAGTAGTTCCCTTGGTCAGCATGAAATTAGAGCAGAAGGAGATGGATGGGTATTTGAGGGTTTCAAGAGACCATGGGTTTCATGAGGCCCCATGACATATCTCTGTTTCTCCAAAGCAGAGAAAACTTCTCTGGGGATCAGAATATTCATCGTGACTAGATCCAGCATAGTCCCACTTTGTACTGTGTTGGGTGTGTGCTTTTCTGCACTTTGTTTTTTCAAGCACATCACCTTTTATTCATAGGTTTCCTTCTTTACCTGTGTTCCCTCTTTACATGTGCTTCATTTATACTTCTTCCCACTCCTCAGATTGGTTGGAAGCAAATCCAAACATCATGAAATTCCATTCATAAATATTTCACCATTTATTTTTTAAAAAGAAGGATTTTGAACCAGTACCACACTAGCATTATTACACACACACCACACACACCATACACACCACACACACCACACATACATACACACACAATTCCTTAACATCATTAAGTATCCAGAGAGTGTTCACATTTTTCCCCATTATACCTTAAATGTTTTTGAACAGTTGGTTTGTTAAATCAGGGTCCAAAATAAGATTCACACATTGCAATTGGTTGATATGTCTTAAGTTTCTTTTAATCTATAGGTTCTATCTCCATCTCTCTTTGTTAAATTTACCCCTGCCCCATTTTTTGCCCCCAAACTTGTCCTTTAAAATTTTTCAGTGGCTTTTGCTGATGGCATCCCCATGTTTGGTCTTCTGACCATGTTCCCCTGATTTCTGTTTTTCTGTAAAGTGAAAGTTAAACTTAGAGGCTTTATCAGATTCCATTCTGATTGGATAGGGAAAGGGGAGTACAGGATTACTTCATAGGTGGTTTTGTGTATTTCCATCAGGAAACTCTCTTTTTGAGATGTTAGTTGATGATTTTTGCCTAAGTCCATTATTTTAAATTTAGGGTAGTTTTAAAATTATGATAATGATATCTTCTCATTTAGTCTTCATTTATTTGCTGGAATACTTTCTTCCATCAATCTGTTTGGTTATCCTGAATTACATTTTGAAAGAGAAAGACAGGATAAGTGCTTTATTCTTTGCTTCTTGTGCCAGTTTTCAAAGTGATGAGTTGATTCTCTAGCATCCTTCAGAGGAAGCAGTGAACTTTGTTTTGTTATTAGTTTTGTTATATTATGGATTTAAACATATTTTATGTATTTTAATCCAGTACAGTTATTATTCTTATGGATGTTCAGATTGTCCCATCTTTGCCAATGAGAGCCTCTTCCAGTTGGCTCCTGAATCTTTTTGAGAACTCTTCCAATAGTCTTTGAGTTTCTTTTCTTTCTAGTTTAAGTCATTCTAGGCTAATTTTGCATGTTTTGTGCCCCAGAGTGGGAGCAGCCTCCAAAGAACCTGGTTCCTTTTTGTGGGAAATTATAATTTAGAAACCACAATGGGTATACGGGTGCTCATTGTTACTGGGTTTGTCATTGTTTCTAGGTACATATCATTTCTAATGACCAAATAACTATTCAGCTTGATGAGTATACTATAGTTTACATAACCATTTGCCTATCAGTATTTGCTGTATTTATTTTTTCATTTTTATAAATAATGCTGAGATTAGTATATTTTTAGATAAGCCTTGTTCACGTTCTGATTATTTCAGATATATATCTGAAATATATACATATATTTATATATATATCTTTTGATATATATCTTCAGATTACTGATTTATACTCTCTTGAGAATAGTGAGCATGCATCTGACTTTACCCTCATTAAGTATTCCTTTTTCATTTTTGTTAATTTGATGAAATAATTTTTATTTCCTATTAATGATATCAAAAAATGTTAATGAACCTATTGCCATTAGGTTTTCTACTGTGAGGAATTGACTGTTCATGTTCTGAACAAAATTATCTATTGGAATTGTAATGTTTTTCCTTACTTTTAATGAACTCTTTATTTTTAAGGATACTAACAATTTGTCTTACTTGTGATACCTTTTCCAGATTCTTTGCCTTTTAATTTTATGTTTTTGACATACAGAAGTCTTAAAAAGTTTATTTAGTCATGTCTATCCATACTTTTAAAAAATGATTTGCCTTTTAATTTTGTTTTTGACATACAGAAGTTTTTAAAAGTTTACTTAGTCATGTCTATCCATACTTTTAAAAAATGATTTGTTACATTGTTTTTAAGCAGAGAAAGTCCTTTCCACTAATAATTGTTTACTTTTGTTATCTTCTCCTCCTTTGTTTCCTCCACCATCTCTTCCGCCTCATCCTTTTTTTTTTTTGATTAATTAATTAATTTATTTTTGGCTATGTTGGGTCTTTGTTGCTGCGTGCAGGCTTTTCTGTAGTTGCTGCAAATGGTGGCTACTCTTTGTTGCGGTGCACGGGCTTCTCATTGCGGTGGCTTCTCTTGTTGTGGAGCACGGGCTCTAGGCGCACAGGCTTCAGTTGTTGCGGCACGCAGGCTCAGTAGTTGTGGCTCGTGGGCTCTAGAGCACAGACTCAGTAGTTGTGGCACACAGGTTGTTGCTCCGGGGCATGTGGGATCTTCCCAGACCAGGGCTTGAACCTGGATTCTTAACCACTGTTCCACCAGGGAAGCCCATCTTCCTCCTAATTCTTTTTAACTTTTTAACTCTCTCTTTTTTTAAATTTCTAACTCTCCTGTTGATCTAAAATGAAGATCAGACTTCGGTGCCCTCTTTATCTTCTATTCTCACACTTACACTAGTTGTCCTTCCTTTCCTCCCAACGACTTAAGGTGTTATATTTGTCATATATTAATTTCTTATTTATATACTCCTCTTGGACTATATTTTTCCACTTATCAATTGCTAGACTGTACTTATTTTAATTATTTATTTTAATATCCACTAAGAAATAGTATCTTTCACTTTAGAAAGATTTCTTAGCTAATCTTACCTATTTTTTCCTTCCCTATGAACTTTACAATCATTGTCACGTTTCAAGAAAGGAAAAGAAATCCCCAAGAGGATTTTTATTGCAATTACCTAAAACCTGTAAATTAAAGAATGATAGTCTTTACATGTTTCAGTCTCCTTATTTAGCTTTTACAGGGATTTGTAATTTCCTTCACTGTAGCTCTTTCACAGTTTTCATCAAGTTTTTCCTTTGGTATTATGTTACTTAATGCACCTTTTTTCTTCAGAGTTTTTGAACTAGTTATTGCTGATATATAAGAGAAAGACCATTGATTTAAAAAAAATATTTGTGTCGTATCTAGCTACTCAGTTATTTTATTGAATCTGAGAGTTTTAACCTGGTTTTCCTGACTTTCCTAGGTCTAGTATCATTTTCAAAAGAAAATTTTAGTTTAGGTTGACACCATTTAAAATGTTCAATATTAAGTTAGGATAAAAATAACCCAATTCTACATTTAAAAATAACTTCACATTTTATTGCAGCCATTTCTCCCTTTGTCTGATAGTGGAGTTATATATGATTCTGATGAAAGCATTCATAGTGATGAAGAAGAAGATGATGCTTTTTTTTCAGATACACAGATACAGGAACACCAAGACCCTAACTCCTATAGGTAAATAAAGCTTTCCTCTTTTCTTTTTGTCTTTTCTTTTGTAGAAGTTCCTGATGTTACTAGTTTTAAGCATCATTACTAGCATGAATTTATACAAGAACTGACCTATGTTTTCAGGTTAGGAATTCTGTACCTTTGAGGTACATTGCTAGATAGTAGAGTATTTCACATGCAGTTTCAAAGAATAGCTAGCACAAACATTTTTAGTGAGAAAAAAATACATAATTTATTGATATGCTGTTAAATTCCATGTAGCTGTGTGGTAAATCTCTTTCCATTAGGTATTTCAGATAGTGCAAGTATAATACATTGTTGCATACCTTTTATTTTCAGAGACTACAAAGGTACTCTTTTTTAATAGTAAGTTGTTAGAAAAAAACGGTTTTTTTCTGGGTGGGAGATTGGGCCAAACCGTTGACAGGGATCATTACTATATTCTCATGATTTTATTTTTCAATTAAGGAGAGTTTTTTTTTTTTTTTTGTCCCTTTGAACAGCTGGGCTCTTCTGCATTTGACAATGGTTAAGCTAGTACTTCACAATGTCAAGAATTTCTTTCCCATTGCTGGACTGGAATTCTCTGGTAAGTTTGGAATTTGAAAATTAATGTTATTAAATACAACAAATTATCATCAAGTTTCTCTTTACAAAATCCATATAAAAGAACAAGTGGTACTAAAAATATATAGCGTTGGAGATGTTATGAGGTCTTATTTATCTTAGGCTCCAGTCTGTGGTTTTAATTCATATGGCAAGAATCACTGACTACCTAGAAGGTTGGAAGAAAAACCAGGAGACCAGCGTGGAGAAGCCAAACATTTTCTTAGCTCATTTTAGAAAGCTGGTCTTCTGTTTTGTTCAAAGCATTAAATATCAAAATGGTGTTAGATTAACATTTTCAGATTTATTTGTACTTTCAGAAGTTTTGGCTCTAAGAATTTGGATCTTGTAAATATGTGGTGATGGTCAACATTTTAAATCAAAGTAAAATATCATATCCTATTACATTTTAGAGTTGCCTGTAACATCACCATTAGGTATTGCTGTGATTAAAAACTTGGAGAATTGGGAGCAGATCTTGCAAGAGAAAATGGATCAGTTTGAAGGTCCTCCCCCCAACTATGTCAACACATATCCAACTGACCTTTCAGTAGGAGCTGGACCAGCTATTCTTCGAAATAAAGCAATGCTAGAACCTGAAAATACTCCATTCAAGTAAGAATTCTCTTACAATGGTAATGAGAGTGTAGCTTGGTTTAACCTTTTTGGAAGTCAGTTTGGCAAAATAATATGCCAGGAGCCTTCAAAACACTCATAACTTTGAACTTGCAATCCTGTTTCTAGCACTATATGCCAAGGAAACTATCAGAAATCTGGATAAAAAATTATTTTTCCCATATTACCTGTACTTCAATAGACATACTAATTTTATAATCAGGACAAAACCTTTATTTTTGTCATCATTTTAGGAACTCTTAACAGAAATGTTTTGGGATAACAATCTACATATTCAAACAAGGTGCTACTGACCTTTTGTCAGTAATTTAATAGTAAACACATTAAGGTTTTTATTGATGTTTTGATCTTCTATCTGTCCATCTAGGCCCCTTTTGATAAGCAGCATGCTTTTTTTGAGGCAGCCAGCCATGATTTAGAGTATTGCTCATAATCTTGAAAGAGCAAGGCTTTTTAGTTTGTTAGGCTGTTAAAAATGAAATGTGGGACTTTATGTTCATTTATATTCATTGGTGATATGCTGTAACCAACAGAACCAGCCTAAAGTATAATTTAAAAAGAGAATAATAAGGGCTTCCTGGTGGCACAGTGGTTGAGAGTCCGCCTGCTGATGCAGGGGACACGGGTTCGTGCCCCTGTCCGGCAAGATCCCACATGCCGCGGAGCGGCTGGGCCCATGAGCCATGGCTGCTGAGCCTGCGCATCCGGAGCCTGTGCTCCGCAATGGGAGAGGCCACAACAGTGAGAGGCCCGCGTACTGCAAAAAAAAAAAAAGGAGAGAGAGAATAATAAGAGATTCAGTTGACTCTCAGCTCAACCTGTCCATTTAGAGAATCTGTAATTAGAGAATTAATTACTAGATGAAGGAATGATTTGTAGAACTAAAAATTAAAAGTGAGATAAATTATAAAATTTTGTTGAGCTTAATGCTGTATCTTCTTTGCAATAATGGAGGTTTTAAAAAAATTATCTGCAAATAATGAAACATTTTCTATAGACTAAAATATAGACTAAAATAGTGTGATATGTTGATTTTTTTTTTTTTTAAACTAGATCCCGGGATTCTTCTGCGCTTCCAGTCAAACGACTTTGGCATTTCCTTGTTAAACAAGAAGTACTTCAACAGACATTTATTAGATATATTTTCACTAAGAAAAGAAAGCAGAGTGAGGTATTTTAGAAAAAAACATTCTCTCTTGTAATTTTCATTTGTTTTCTTTAACATTTCTAATGAAGCCAGCTTGATTTGAAATTTACTTTTGGTTGGAACTTATTATCTTTCATACGTCATAGGTAATAGTTTATCAAACTACAGAGAATTTTTTTAAAGATAAAAACGTACAATTTTTATTTCATAACAATGAAACAACATAGGTCCTTCGATAAATCCTGTATAATCAGGTGAAAGTGGTTATGTCCTTTATAATATTTGCCTTTGGGCCTTTACATGTAATAAACATTGTGAGGGATGGTTTGGGGAATTTAGTATATATATGAGTATACTCCATGTTATGATTCTCTGAATATCATTTAAATGAAAATACAGCATAACCCTTTAAAAGCATTTTTATTTATTTAGCATTTAGAAATGAACAGCATAAACTGTAGAATAATTGTGTGAGACAGATTAAACTACAGAAACACCAAATATGAGATGAAGGAAGATTGACTGCATTTACAAAGTGAGGTAGAGATTCTACATTGCATGGTGATTTTTAAGCTAAACATAAGTTAATAATGTAATGCCATACAGGGTTCAAGAAGAATCATGAATTTGAGAGAGTCACACTTTAGAACTTAAAACGATCTCTTCATTATAAAATGAGGGGTACACAGATGTTTTATATATAAGCATTTCAGTCCATTTGGCTATTTGATGAGGTAATGAGCAGTTTGGAGAGTAGTGTTCAGAGTAGAGTGTCAGATGTGATTAAAGATTGGCAACAAAAACTATGAGAAAAGAAAAATTAATTATATTTCACTTAGAAAAGTGAAAACCGAGAGGGACAGTCTATGTGGCTCAATTTCCCAAGGTGGCATATAGAACTGCGTCTCAAATGTTCTCCATACCTAGGGCAGCAGAACCGACCAGATTTGTTCTTTTCTTTCCACTACTCACCCACTTACCTGGATGGTCATTGTGGGCAGTCCTGTGAACAGTCATTTATTTTTTTCTGTAGATTTAAAAATTATGTACTTACGTGAGGAATTAGAGGAATGAACTGTAGAGATTCTTTTGTGTCTTATAAGCTTATTTGATAGGAAAAGACCCCAATGGTATTGAAATTATTGATGTAGGGTTTTGTTAGGGGAATAAGAGCCAAATTCCTTTCCTCTTTCGTTTAATCCATTGTTTACTGCATTTCCTATAGTGATACTGAGTTCTATAAAGATATAGAAATCTAAGAAATAGATTTAAGATAAAAGATACTTGCTCACTTAGGGCTCTATTATTCACAGAAAGAGAGTTCATTGAAGGATCAATTTTCTGAGTTGTTAGTTCTTCAAATTATTAAACACAGTGATATGCTTTAATTATTCATAAGGTTTCTAGCAGTTTTGTTTTGTTAGATTGTCAGAGCCTCAGAGTGCTACAGAAAGACTGGGTCTAGGTTGAGACTCTTGTCTTGCTCTTGAGGATCTGTTGTCTCCTTTCTCGTTTCCCTCTTCCTTAACCAAGTTTCTCCCCGATTCTGCCCCTTACCTCCCCTTCTTTATGCCCCTCCATTTCTGTGCTCTTGGGATCAGCAGCCCAAGCTGTGTGTTCTTTTCTATTTTTCTACCAGAAGAGGCTCTCCATGTACAGGGAGGTGGGACAGAGATAAACTGAACATTTCTTAAAATGCTGTGTAAGCGTTGGTTGGCTCCAGGAAGGGAAGTACATGGCTGGGAGTTTGGATGGAAGAATTTTTATCATGTACCCTTTTGTACCTTTGAATTTTAAATTATTGAATGAAATTAATATCTTGTTGCATGCAGGCCAATAAAACTTTCTGTTGATAATGGAAATTTATCTGTTCTGTACAGCATAGTAGTCACCAGCCACATGTGGTTATTGAGCACTTGAAGTGGGCTAATGTGACTGAGGAACTGAATTTTTTATTTTGTTTAATTTAAATTTAAAGCCATATGTGTTTAGCTGTTACTGTATTGAATAGCACATATCTGCTGAAAAGTGGTTTTCATTTACGAAAAAAATTATGAAAACAATGTGAAAGCTCTTGAGGCAAAGTAAAATTGGTCACTTAGTTCAGAAATATGCAGAATTTATTAAAACTACCCATCTAATAAGAGTGTTTTATCTTTTTAGATTGTTAAATAGGATATTGGTGGTCAATAAATTTGGTAAATTCAGTGAATTGATTAATTAGCAAAACTGGCAAAATAATCCTAAGAATGCTAAAATAGGCTAATTTTTAAAAATTACTTAATAAAAATAAAATTCTGAGAAATGCTGAAATTTTAGGTATATTCAGAAGAAGGTATTTTTACTCACTGAGTATGTTAGAGAAGACTATTCCACAAAACAGCTTTTTGTGAAATGGATAAATGTGGCAAACTTAGCCACTTGATTAAAGGCAAATAGGTTCTTCTGCAGTTTGGCTTTTGCTGAGTTGGCCCTTGCACACTTGTACCATTCCTTCAGTGTCAGCTGCAGCAGCCCTTGAGCAGTTGCACAGGGCATGGAGAATTGGGTCCTGTTGGCTGAAAGAGAAGCAGGCACTTCAGGAAGTACTGGTAGGAATATATTGCTCTGATCAAACCTTCAGAGGTTTCCACAGCACAGCAGAAATGATATTTCTGATTATAGCCATTCCTAATGGCCCTGTCATCAACCAGGAGCAAGTTATTTGTGTGATTTCTTTCCCATGCCTCATCTCATCAAACATTTACTTATAAGGAGAAAATCATAAGATTATGTATAGTGTAATGGTTGATGTGAATTTTAATCCTTGACGGTCTCTTCACGGATATATTCCTTATGAGTAAGAGTGAAATAATTATCAGTACTTTTAATCTGTGTTTAGAAAAAAATAGTTTTTATTTATTTGAAATAAACCCCTATAGGTTAGGAATCTATGTAGTAGAGGATGCATCTGCTTATACAAGTAGGTTTTATTTTTAGAGACTAGAGTTTAAGTTAGAACTTCCAAGTTACATAACTGACATACAAATAATGAATTTTTATTTTGAAATTGCTTTTATATATATAATACATTAATTTTGCCTGTTTTGCTTTGTGTTGCTTTTTCTGATGACATCACATTTTACTCAGTTTAATTTTTTCTTGATGTGCTTTTAAATTCATTTTAAAGCTTGCAAATTCATTTTTACCATCTTTAAGTGATGGAGCAACCATTTCAGTTTGAACTTTCATTTCTTTTATAATTCCGTTTCATGCATGTGTTTTGTGTTTGTGACGGTGTGGTGTTGTTTAGTCTATAGAAGAACATGTGGAGCAGGTCAGACAAAACTGCATAGCAGAAGATTGCCACATCAAGGTAGTATTCCACGCTCTCGAATTTAGCTCATTCTTTAAAATTCAAGGAGCTAACCCTGATCTCTGATACTAACCATGACCTGCCCAGCTGGCTGACTAGTCAGAGTGCTCACTGCTCCCACACACCTCACTGGCACAGGGTAGGAGATGCTCCACTATGTCCAGCTTGATCTTTCTTGCCATGGGTTCTCTTTCTTGCTTTCTTTTCCATCTTCAGTTCTGTCCCTTTTCCCCATCTGTTCTTAAACATGATTGTTTTATCTTGTCTCTTTCTTGATTCTGCCTCTTCTTTTCTCCCCATCACCTTCAACTCTAAGCATTACACCTTCCTCTCATCAATCTCCTTCATTACTTTCTTTTTTTTATTATTAAAAAATATTTATTTATTTATGGCTGCATCGGGTCTTAGTTGCTGCGTGCGGGCTTTCTCTAGTCGCGGTGCGCAGGCTTCTCATTGTGGTGGCTTCTCTTGTTGCAGAGAACGGGCTCTAGGCACGCGGGCTTAGTAGTTGTGGCTTGTGGGCTCTAGAGCACAAGCTTAGTAGTTGTGGCGCACGGGCTTAGGTGCTCCACGGCATGTGGGATCTTCCCGGACTGGGGCGTGAACCCGTGTCCCCTGCATTGGCAGGTGGATTCTTAACCACTGCGCCACCAGGGAAGCCCTCCTTCATTACTTTCTAACTGTTCTTGTATCCAACTTCTTATTCCTATCTCATCACCCTTATTTAAAAATATTTCACTTCTTATGTGACTCCTTTGTCTTTCTGATTGTGTCTTTTTCTCTCACATTCTTACTGCTGTATCTTTGTGCACTTCTGGAAGAGATAAGAGAAATTACTGTTATAAATACTAATGAAAATTATGTTAGCTATCTTTTGTGACAGTTACTCAGTATCCTGTAATCACAATGGAAATGTTTGTAATTGGGGTGATTACAGGGCATCAGAGAATCTAAGCTAATTCCACAGCTAATTTTCAACACACTAAAATTACTGGTACCTTTTTTCTTGCTGCTGCTGCTACTGCTACATTTTCTTCTTGTCCTTTTAAGTTTTGTGGGATGTACATATATCTGTATGGAGCTGTGCTGCAACAACTAAAACTGCTGACAAATGTCTTGTAGGTTGAAGCAGATCTGGGCTATCCAGGAGGAAAGGCAAAAATCATTCATAAGGAGTCAGATATGATCATGGCATTTTCTGTTAATAAGGTAAAATCTTTAGTAATTATAAAGAATGTAGTACTTTGTTTTAGTGAAATTGCTTAAATTATTGACTTTGCGTTTGCTTTACAGGCAAACTGTAATGAAATTGTTTTGGCTTCAACGCATGATGTACAAGAACTTGATATTACTTCTCTTCTGGCCTGTCAGTCATACATATGGATTGGAGAAGAATATGACAGAGAATCCAAAAGGTTTGCTTGCCTTATGTAATCAATTTTAAATGTAGTTTTCTTCCAAAAGAACCTATTAAGTGGTTATGCACTTGATTTCAGTTGTCTTGAAAACTGTGTATTTCTTTGGTAAGGAGACAAACATAATTGGTTTAGCTGCCAATAAAGGGCTCTGCTTACATCAGTGTACAGATTACTCCTACTTCTTCCATTAGACCCTGAATTATTCATAATGTTTGAGTCAGAATAATCCCCAACACCAGAGCCTAATGCTAACAACTGCCACTTTGACATTTAACCCCAAAGAAATGTCAGAAATTACACAATATTCAATAAATTCAGCTAATCTGGATAATTATCATAAAAAGCAGAATACACCAATATATTAATTAGACTGATTGATGAGTCACATTTACTGAGTAATTTTCGGTGTTTCTTCTTGATTATCTCTCTATAAGCATACCTTTTTTTCAGATAAAAATGTAGTCAACTTTACTTTTCAGTAAAACTATGGACACTGCACCAAGAGTGCAGTAATGCTTTCCTATTTGGGGGTTTCTCCTCCATGTTTTCCGTCCCTCTTGCTTTTCTCCAGACTCTTGGAAATTTTATGTACTGGGAGTGGTGCCATGATAGCCTCTTTCATTTCTGTTTTTATCTCATTAGTATATAATACAACTAGGTTTCAGTCATACTTCAGAGTAGATGTAACCATGTAATATGATATGGCCCATCATAAAAATTACTTTAACATTTAATGTGATAATTAGTACCTAAGTTTAAGAAAACTTTTAACTCCAATTTCTTTAAAATGTTTGAATTTTATAAATGGGATCTCTGTACTTGAAGAGAACATACAGTCTTTTTCTATACAGGATAAAAAGAAAATCTGCGTTAAATACTTCAAAACAAACATTTGTTCTGATTTTTGCAGCAATAAAATTCTCCCAAACATTAGACTAAAGTTATATTTTGCCTAAGGGGAAAAAGTTAACCAGTACTAAAATTGGTGATGATTAGGACTTGTACCTACGTTTTTATTACGGATATTGATACTTTTTTTAAAAATAAAGACTGTCCTTCAGATAGATAAAAAGCTCTGTAATTGGAATTTGTGTTGAGGAAATGGAACTGTCACAGTAACACATGAATGTTTTCCACAGTTCAGATGATATTGATTATCGTGGTTCCACTACAACTCTTTATCAACCCAGTGCAACATCCCATTCAGCAAGTCAGGTGCATCCATCTTCATCTCTGCCGTGGCTGGGCAGTGGACAGACTAGCATTGGAGCTAGTGTGGTATGTTATTTACTATTAAGTATGGTTTCTGGATATGGACTCGCTCAAAAATAGGTTGAAATCACTTTGACATAGGAATGATGCTGATGATCAGAGGCAGTGACCAGTTAGTATACCATAATAATGATAGCTAGCATGCTGTGGGTTTCTTTATGTCAGGTGCATGCCTTTTCTTATAACAACACTAAGTGGTTTTCATTTTATAGATGAGCAAACTGAGAGGCACAAAGTGGTAAAGCAGAGCTAGAGAGGAATTCATGTCTACTATAAGTGTTTGAAAAATGCCATCAATAACATTGTTGTTAGTCACTGTAGTTAAAGGGGTCCCATTCTCATGTTCTGCTCTGAAGAATCTGGAGATACTCCTGACTGTCCTTAGGGAGGGGCACTTGGAGGAGAGTTCCCTTTACAACTAGGTGAAGCAGCTTGGTACCCTCACAGTCCACACAGACCAGGGCACGCCAGTAAGTGACTGTGCTTTCCCAGCCTGTTCAGACAAGTGCCATATATTTGGTGGGTCAAAAAATCCACAACAGGGTTTATTTTAGTAATAATCCAGTGTAAGAGAATAACTGTTATCAGAATTAGAGTTGGCCTGAATCATATCCTTCCTTATTTCTTCTGTGATGTAAAAGAAATTCATTTTTATCTTCTTTTAAAGCTTATGAAAAGGAATCTACATAATGTTAAGAGAATGACCTCACACCCAGTCCATCAATACTGTGAGTATTTTATTTATGATCAAAGGACTGCAAGTGATCTCTACCATTTTGAAGTTGGCTTATAGAATGGGAAATGTTGGAACTCTTTCTTCAGCTTTGTTTCTTATTTTTTGCTTTTCCTTTTGTGTCTCAGATCTCACAGGTGCTCAGGATGGCAGTGTACGAATGTTTGAATGGACAAGACCTCAGCAGCTTGTCTGTTTCCGCCAAGCTGGCAATGCAAGAGTTACCAGATTATATTTCAATTCACAAGGCAACAAGGTTAGTTTCTGGGGGTTACTGCTAAACTTGTCTGAAAAGAACTGCAGATATTTATGAGTAAATAGCTAGTAAAACTAGACTTAAAAACAAATTCAGGGGCTTCCCTGGTGGCACAGTGGTTGAGGGTCCGCCTGCCGATGCAGGGGACGCCGGTTCGTGCCCCGGTCCGGGAGGATCCCACATGCCGCGGAGCGGCTGGGTGTGAGCCATGGCCGCGGAGCCTGCGCGTCCGGAGCCTGTGCTGCTCCGCAACGGGAGAGGCCACAGCAGTGAGAGGCCCGCGTACTGCAAAAAAAAAAAAAAAAAAATTCAGTCGCTCTGGATTTGAGTTGAGCAGGCAGTTTGATGGTGTCTGTTTCTATAGCCCCTTGGCTCTCAAGAAAAGCATAAATCCACAGAATTTTGTGTGGATTAATTAATCGTCTACTTACAGATACTAAATATTCTGTGAGGGTAAAGAATTCTGTTTCTGTTGAGTGCATTGATGGTGCCTGTGTGCAGAGTCAGGCACCTAAGAGAAACCTTCCAATTTCTTACTAAGTTCTGCTACATAAGTTTGGAGGAAAACAGTGAAACAGGCATGGAAAAGAATTTAAAAGATGGCAGGATATTTACAGTACTTGGGCTTTCTTGAGAACTACAGCAGCAGGAGCATAGGTATAGGCAGAATGTTGGTTAAGTGGGGACTGAGTGACTCTCCATTTCATAAATGATTTTACCTTCGATATGGCTACTCAGAAGCTGTGTTTAATATTTACATCATTCTTACAGTGTGGTGTCGCAGACGGAGAGGGTTTTCTGAGTATCTGGCAAGTAAACCAAACTGCATCAAATCCCAAACCTTACATGGTAAGTATCACTCAGCGTTCGCAGAGCACATATGGAGGCCACTTTGTTTGTGAAGTGTTTGTTTCAGACAGCGAGTCCCATTGGTGGATCTGTTGGGAAAGGGACCACTCTGTCCAGCAGCCACGGCCCAGCACCATCATTGCCCTAGCTTTAGACTGAAATGACTAAAACGCAAAAAAACTTGCTTTTCACAGCTTGAAGGGTGACCATTATATTTGAAATTTTTAGGGGCCTTCTCTGTGTGTGGTCTTACTCAGGACACATTTTTATTACACTTTTATCTGTTTTGAAATCTCTGACTTCTTAGTGATAGAGTTTTATAGTGATTCGTTTTAGGTACTGTATTAAGAACCAGACAGGTTCCATGTATGCCAGTTTGCTCCAGAATGTTTCTTATTAGATTATAAAATAACCAATCCCAATAAGCCACTTCATCCATTAATCCAAATCATGTTAGAACACGTGGTGATGCAGACAAGCATGTCTGCACTTGGAGGGTCGGGGGCACGGTGATGCTGGAAGGTTAAGTTCATGTACTTGGTGTTTTATTCCTTTGTTACATAATCTTTAATTCCATGTTTCTGCCAACTCTTCCAGTTTTAAAAAATTATTGGGTATTAGCCAAATAACATGCATATGACAGCTAATCCTCTTATCACTTATTCTTTATTCTAGATTTTAAAAAGTGTTCTTAGCTCATGCATGTAGTATATGATTAGCAGAGCTGTGTGTGTGTACTGTACCACATTTTACTGGATTTTGAGATAACATCATCTTGCACTTTGTTCCCATAGAGTTGGCAGTGCCACAGTAAAGCCACAAGTGACTTTGCATTTGTTACCTCTTCAAGTCTAGTTGCCACATCTGGACAGTCCAATGACAATAGGTAGGTTGACAGAGATGCAAAAAAGAAATAAGCATATTTTAGGCAGAAAGGTATTCTTGCTAGAAAGTATGGATTTCTATTTAGTCAGGTTTTTCCACCTCACGAATACAAAAACTTTGTTACATAATTCTTCAAGTAGTTTTCCTTACCAAAAAGAGAAAGACCAAAATTACTCCTAATGTAATCTACTAAAAAGTATGTGGAATTTTTATGTTAAAGCTATTTTTTTTATTGCTGTTAATAGTCACGTTTTTGAGGCTCTGTAGCCATCATTCTCAACATTTTCTTTGCCTCAGATTGTTTTCATTGGCAACATGTGCCCATGAATAACACCTCTCATTTCCCTGCAGTGTTTACCCCCAAGGATATAGAAGCATCTCTTCTACTCAGGAAATCATGTCTCATTTTCCGTGGAGTGATAATGGAAAAGAGATAGGGCCGGGGGATGAGATGGAGCAGAGTCAGGTGGGACCATGTGAGACAGACCCTGTAGTTTGAAAAGGATAAACTCTTGGAAGAGATACATCCCCAGTCCCAACCTCTACCCTCATCCTAGTTGAGAATCACTGCTTTATAAATGTGTGTGAACAAAACAACATAAGATTCAATAAGTAAAAATATTTGATGTAAAGACACAGTTTATCCCAGTGATGACTTAGAACAATTTGTTTATGATGTATTTTTGTTATTGTTTCTTTATTAGAAATGTATGCCTCTGGGACACATTGATATCACCCGGAAACAGCCTCATTCATGGTAAGTGAGCTGTCTTTGATTTTCAGTACACTGTGAAAGAATGCTTTCCTGGTTTTATTTTAACCAGTAAATCCAGTGCGTGTTTATTCACGGGTTAAAAATGGAGAAATGTATAGAGTGAATAAAATTCTAAAAGTTAACTAGAATATCTGGCCACCTTGCTGAGGTAAATATATATGGTCACAGAAACCCAGCTAGCCTAGAATAATCTTTGTGTTGAATTCCATTCAGAAAATATGGTATGGAGAGCGGCACTACTAACAAGGCTGCTGAAGAAATCAGTTGCAAAGTATTCCTTGAGCTCAAGAGAAATGAGGTCATATTTCAGAGAATTAAATCTGACTGTAAACTAAAAGTCAGCCTTATGATTAGAAATCTGAATAATGCCGTTTAAACATCCGTTTAAACATTATTCCTTTTAAAACAGTGTTTTCCACATCACTGTCCTAAAGATCACTCACATAATGCCACCGAGTGCTCAAAGCTCTAGTAAGTTTGGGTTAAACATAGCTAGGAGGACTTTGTTAAAAAACAAAACAAAAACAAAAAACAGATTTGAGTCTTTTACTATGCTGACGTGTATTTTGAAAGGTGTAGTTATTTCCCAGTTTTGATTGCAAAATTCTGTTTTTGGCGAAAAATTATTAACATCTCTTAAAGATTTGCCACATATTAGTTTAAGGTGTTAATCACATTAGAATGCAGAGAGCCCTGGGAAGGTTAACTCCTTAACTTGGGGCTGGTAATTTTCACACTAGTGTCGTTTCACTTACTTAGCTGAGAAGGACTTTAAAAATATATATATGTTATTGAAGTATAGTTGATTTACAAGGCTGTGTTAATTTCTGCTTTATAGCAAAGTGATTCAGTTATACATATATTCTTTTTCATATTCTTTTCCATTATGGTTTATCTCAGGATATTAAATATATTTCCCTGTGCTATAGAGAAGAACTTTTGATGAGGTTTTATGTATGGGCAGGAACTGGGAAAGGGTAAATACTTGTTATTGGTGGGTATTAATGGAGACATTGAGTACCATTGAGAAGCTTGTTCTCCTCTGCACTTTTGCTTCTACATTCTTATGAGACAGTATAACTTAGTTTGGACATAAAGTTTAAACTTCCTGTGTATATGGGCGTGTGTTTTTATACTGAGATTATGTATGTTTTTTCTGTCATTGCTTGCCATCTTTTTTAATACTTTGATCATGATTATAGAAATTAGAAGGGAAAATGTAACAGTAAATTCTGTATTACTTAAATGTGCATTTAAATATTACCATAAGTGCTAAGGTAGACATCATTTGGGAAAGGATCTTGATGTTTTTCTTCAGGTTTCACATGCCATGATCATGGTGCCACGGTACTTCAGTACGCGCCAAAACAGCAACTCCTAATATCTGGAGGCAGGAAAGGCTACATCTGCATTTTTGACATCAGGCAGAGACAGCTAATTCACACATTCCAGGCACATGACTCGTTAAGGCGCGCGCTGGCTCTCGATCCCTGTGAGGACTATTTTACTACAGGTTCAGC